GCCTCTCCCAAGTTGCACCATCATCTGACGAACATGAAACGTATCCCCTAAATGAAGGAAAAAAGGAAACAGCATCGGAGAATGCCCCACTACACAGCACTCATAATATGTACCCTCGCCTCTCCCAAGTTGCACCATCATCCGATGAACAAAAAATGTATCCCCCAAATGAAGGAATATCGCTTGCCACCGAATTGTGTGAGGTAAGCAATCAAAACCATTTTTTAGGAACACAGAGGAACGGAAAACTACTGAAATAACTAAACAACTGAGCATATTACACATAAACATTCAGTCTATATCATCAAAAACTAGTCAAATAGAACAAATAGCAAAGGAAAGGAACATAGACTTCGTATGCCTGAGCGAACATTGGATGAATGAAACGAATATAACCTATGCAAACATTCCAAATTACAAATTACTAACATTCTTCTGCAGGAAATCTAAAAAACATGGGGGTACAGCTATATACATGAAACATAATTCATTGATGAAATGGAAAATACTCCCTTGTAAATATGCAATGGAGAGGGAATTTGAATACTGCATGTTGGAACTTTCCCTCCCTATGAAAATATGTCTAATCTGCATCTACAGACCACCAACAGGCTGTGTGAAAGACTTCGTGAAATATCTATCAGTCACTATGAGTGAGCTCATAGTTACCCACAAAATTATAATTTGTGGAGACCTAAACATCGATTTCTTGCATGAAAATGACAGCAACTTCAAATTACTTATAGACATGTTGGATTCAGTTGAGTGCTATAATATGACAACATCTGCAACAAGAATATGCACAAACAAAAATAATATAACGTCTACCAGTGGTATTGATTATATAATTTCTAATCTCAACCCAAACCAGTGTACCGTATCAACTTTCAATCCGCATCTATCAGACCACCTGGCCATCCAACTGTCTTACGAATACACCCAAACTCAATCTCAAATAGAAGTAGCTAAAATCAGATACCACCGTAAAACTTCAACTGAATCAATAAATGACCTAAAAACTAAATTGAACGAAACAATATGGAACCTTGATGAACAAAACTCACCATCGATAAATTTCGAAAGGTTCATCAATTGTTTCAAGGATGCCTATGATGCAGCATGTCCACTAGTCCCTAACAGAACAACCAGAGGTTCGAAGACCCATTGGTACAATGACGAGCTGAGACGAGTAAAAAACGACCTGGATATTGCCTACCAGATGTATAGACAATCGGGCAACAAACAACTGGAAAACATTTACAGAAACAAAAGGAAAAACTATCGTAAACTGATGAACAAAGCAAAAAGGGAAACACTGAACAATAATATAAATGAGGCAAGTAACAAGACTAGGCAAATTTGGAAAGAAGTAAACACTAAATTGGGCAGAAATAGTCGGGAAGCCGTGGAAATACATATCAATGTAAACAACGAGGTATTAACCGATCCTGAAACTGTAGCCAACTGTTTCGGCCAATACTTCTCAAGTATCATCGAAGAAAAAATGGAGGAACACTTCGGAACTACCTTACCTCGGACCTGCACCACTGGGGAAATACTCCCACACTCCTTCTTTTTCGAACCAGCCACACCTGAAGAAATCTCAGCAATAATACGTAATCTCAAGAATACAATGTCAACAGGTCCAGATGATGTGCTAGTGAAAATCTTGAAACAAATAAGTGATAGTATAGTTGAACCTTTAACAACCTTAACAAATATATGTATTTTGAAGGGTGAGTTTCTGGATGTTTTGAAACTCAGCAAAGTGATTGCAGTGTTCAAAAAAGGTGATAGGTCGAACTTAGATAACTATAGACCAATTAGCCTCCTCAGCATTTTTTCGAAAATTCTGGAGAGATTCATATATAACAGACTCTTGAAATTTCTGAACAAACACAACATACTGGCCGAATCGCAACATGGTTTCAGGGCCGACAGATCGACTGAAACTGCAACTTCACTTTTCGCGGATTTTATTCATAATAATATTGACCATAGGAAATTTGTAGCGGGTATATTCTTCGACTTGTCAAAAGCTTTTGACTCTATTGACAAACATTTTATGGCATCTAAATTGTATAATCTTGGTTTCAGAGGGAATGTCTTATCTTTAATCATCTCATTCTTATCAAACAGAAAATTATACGTTACCTTGGATGGGGCAGAATCTGAAAAATTTTCCATAAATGTTGGTGTAGCTCAGGGATCAATCCTTGGCCCACTCATTTTCCTACTATTTCTCAACGACCTACCATCCAACATAAGCAAACAATTCTATTTAATCAACTTTGCTGATGATACAACTCTGGGTATAGCTGAATCCACTGTGGGGGGCATGATCCAAGCCATCAAATTAGGAATTAAAGAAATGTCATCATACTGCAACTCCAATAAATTAATATTGAATGCTCAAAAAACCAAAATTATCTTATTCAACAGAAATATCGAAATACCCAATGAATTACCTAATATACACCACTCAACTAAGTTTCTTGGTGTAACAATAGATGGCACACTCGCATGGGACGAACACATCGAGCTAACGTCAAAAAAATTATCCAAATCATATTTTGCAATCATGCAACTGAGATATGAGCTACATGAAAGTATTTTAATCCAGGTATACTATGCACTAGTCTATTCTGCCTTATCATTTCATATCACACTATGGGGATATGGCAACAGGGGTTAACAGAATATTCATAGCACAAAAAAGGATTGTTAGGCTGATGTTTAGTATGAAACCACGTGACTCATGTAGAGAAATTTTCAAAGCAAAAAAAATGTTGACTTTCTACTCCATTTTCATTTTCAAGAGTTGTTTATATGTCAGAAAAAACATACAGAAACTAGAAAAAAATAATAGCTACCATCAATACCATACAAGAAACGGGACTAATCTAATAACCACTGCCCACAGAACAACAACTTTTGAAAAATCTCCAACATATGCAAGTTGCAAAATATATAATAAGCTCCCGAACAATATCAAGAGTTGCCAACCTTTAAATAAGTTCAAAAAGAAACTGAAAATGCTACTATTCTCAAAAGCTTACTATTCATTACAAGAATACTTCGATGATCCTGACATGACTGAAACAACTAGTTATGTTATATAAGTATCCCAGTATAATCTATGCTTTTTTTAAATCTCCCTGTCGTCTCTAATGGTCCCCATATATCATATTCTCAACAATTTATGAAATGTGCGTCCCCCTTGTAATTGTTCAAACAATGTATGATCTATGTGCTATGTACAATTGTATATGTTTATATACTATTTATTAATTTAGAAGTATTACCCATTGTCTACTTATATATGTATTTATAAATACATATATGAATATATATTACACAACTGTTGACATGTCCTATACCATGTATTTGGTCACGGATTAATAAATATTATCTTATCTTATCTTATCTTATCTTATCTTATCTTATCTTATCTTATCTTATCTTATCTTATCTTATCTTATCTTATCTTATCTTATCTTATCTTATCTTATCTTATCTTATCTTATCTTATCTTATCTTATCTTATCTTATCTTATCTTATCTTATCTTATCTTATCTTATCTTATCTTATCTTATCTTATCTTATCTTATCTTATCTTATCTTATCTTATCTTATCTTATCTTATCTTATCTTATCTTATCTTATCTTATCTTATCTTATCTTATCTTATCTTATCTTATCTTATCTTATCTTATCTTATCTTATCTTATCTTATCTTATCTTATCTTATCTTATCTTATCTTATCTTATCTTATCTTATCTTATCTTATCTTATCTTATCTTATCTTATCTTATCTTATCTTATCTTATCTTATCTTATCTTATCTTATCTTATCTTATCTTATCTTATCTTATCTTATCTTATCTTATCTTATCTTATCTTATCTTATCTTATCTTATCTTATCTTATCTTATCTTATCTTATCTTATCTTATCTTATCTTATCTTATCTTATCTTATCTTATCTTATCTTATCTTATCTTATCTTATCTTATCTTATCTTATCTTATCTTATCTTATCTTATCTTATCTTATCTTATCTTATCTTATCTTATCTTATCTTATCTTATCTTATCTTATCTTATCTTATCTTATCTTATCTTATCTTATCTTATCTTATCTTATCTTATCTTATCTTATTATCTTATCTGATATTTGAATACATATTCATGCTAACCTCGTAGAGGATGTGAAGTGTAACTTCACAACACACTAGTCCAACACCACCAGATAGAAAAATCAGAGATCAGTTAAGAAATTTTTTTTTCCAATATTTAGTTTCAACTCAAAGATATCAATGAACTACAAAAAACAGATTATACATTATTCATATCAGCTATGACATATTGAAATTCAGTATCAGTATAGACTTTCCGAAGTCAACTAGAGCGCCTCCAGCAAGTAATGTCCTCCCACTATTGTCTTGTCATTGTCGATATGTCAGATCTCATCAGATTCTCAACTCTTGTCCGTCAAACGACGTCGTGTTATGTCACATGTAATATAATGAACACCACCTGGCAGAAATCACTAGTTATCGCCATATATGCGAGGAAATCTACCAAACTGACCACCAACTGCTAGACAGGGAAGAGTGTCCTAAAACGATGTTTTTATAAAAATTCATATTATATCCAATATGCTATGGTTGCTCAAATCTTCGTGAGATTTGAACTAGACGTAATATATACCAATAGAAATTGAGAGACTGAATTAGGATAAACAAATATTTAGTCATTCGATCAGAAAATACACTCAAAAAAACTCATCGAGTGTGACGTTTTATCGAACCCACAGTTGTTTGAAATGACATATGTACCCTATGGCGTTTTATCGACCCTGCATTGACGGAATGAGAACATATTGAAAATAACTACGAACACAATTCACACACGATTTTTTCCACTTCAAGTGATATATCTGAACAATCTCAATGTGCCCAGTTCTCACAAGTCATACAACTTATCCATTTTTTCACCTTGGAATTTTATAGAGGTCGTTGCAGTAAATACAAGCTACATCATTATCGTCATCGTTTCCATATGGGTCTCTGTCTTTATCATACTCCAATTCGCTGTAATTTTCCAACTTCTCAAGTTGACAACTTTTTTTTTCGAATATTGCACGCTTGGCATTTCGTGTAATTTCAGAAATTTGTTTCTTTTGGGCTATTAGGCGTGAACAAGTCAATATTGAAAATTCGTTCCTACCAATACTTGCCAGTCATTTTTTTCATCTGAAATAATAAATGGTCCGGTGGTCGAGAGTGAAAAGGCGCTGAAGTCGTAAGGAAACTCGCACCGAGACATGGGTTCGAGCCCCAGTTAGGCCATGGATGTTTGTGCACGTATGGAATCCTAAGTTTTGACTTGGGAAGTTGGTTCTAGTGCTGGGACCAACTAGGGGATGCAATTGAAAAACAAAAATATTGTTCAAAATGGTAGGTTCGATGAAATGACTTAGTATGTCGATGTCGTTTTAAAAACTACATTCCTATGTCATTTTAAACGTTTCCTGACCTCATCCTACCTGCTTCGAAATCTCCACTGTCCCGAAGTTGTAAGGATATCTACTCTGAGATATCTTTTCGGTGCAATAAAGCGGGTTCAACTATTAGCAATTATTTACAACTCGGGCGCCACCTATTTTATAGTGGTAGGTCCACTTGCACCGGGCAACTATCAGTGGAGAAAGTTCAATCAAGGGGTCTGAGATTTCAACTATCAAATTGACAGGACTTCCACTTAACTTTTTCCCCGAACTATTAGTTGCACCTTGAGTGAACAACAAAAAAAACTCAATGAAATATTGACAACTATATATTCTCAGTGTATTTACAATATTCTTTACAGTTACTTAATATTCTAAATGTATTTACAATATTCTCTTCAACTACTTATTTACAAACTTATCCATATTACTAAACTCGGATGCGATAATTCATACCCCCCTCGAGACATACGGCATTCAAGCGGATTCAAATTGCAAGCTCGCGGGTTATGCAAAGCAACAAAACTAATCAAACGCGCAGTCTATGTATTGAAAGCAAAACTAGCAGCAAGCTTCAGTGGCTCTACATTAATGCTATAATAATAAACACATGCAACATATGCATACAGGGGATACTGTGCACGCAAGCTATCAATCGTGCACTTCAAATGACCAGGTGATAAATCACACTAAGATCATACCGGCTGGAAGAGAACGTAAGTTAGTTACACAATATATCTACAATCATGTTCTGCATACAGGGGATGCCCACTTAGTATGCGTGCACGCAAGCTATCAATCGTGCACCTCCAGATCAGGTGATAAATCACACTTAGATCATAACGGCTGAAAGAGAATTTATATGAGTTACACCAAATGTACTGCATACAGGGGATGCCCACTTAGAATGCGTGCACGCAAGCTATCAATCGTGCACCTCAAATGACCAGGTGATAAATCACACTTAGATCATAACGGCTGAAAGAGAACTTATATGAGTTACACAATATATACACAAAATGCACTGCATACAGGGGATGCCCACTTAGCATGCGTCCACGCAAGCTATCAATCGTGCACCTCAAATGACCAGGTGATAAATCACACTTAGATCATAACGGCTGAAAGAGATCTTATATTAGATACACAACGATATCCTGCATACAGGGGATGCCCACTCAGTATGCCTCTTCTCTCTCCTCACCTAACGCTCTTACTCTCCTCCTTTTCTCTGGTCGGTCGGTCCGGTCTGCTTTGGCGTGGCTGGCTGGTTAGTCGCTTTCAAGGAACTGATCTCCAAGTCCCCAGTCAGTCCTCTGGCTCCTAGGTGGCTTCCCCCTCTCCGTCGGTAGTCCTCGGCTGGTTTCGGTGTCGGCTTGTCTTCGGTCCCGCTCGTCTGCTGGCTGCGCGTGTATGGCTCTGGGCGCTCGAGCTATACTGGTTTTACCGTTCGTCTCTCTGAGCTACGGCGGCTCGCGAGGCGAGGTCCCACTCCTCTTGAATAGTGGGGCGCGCACGCGATACGTATACTTGGATGGATATCGATCTCCTATCCATCTGACGCTTTATCAATTATTCAATCAGAACATTTATAATCAATCAAAAGTAAATCGCGGTCATCGAATCTTATTAACAATACTTCCGGTGTAATATTAACATCATTCACGAAAAATAACGGAATATCTAGCTTACTATTTACAGCAGTTTGTAATAACTATACCGTATGTCTCAAAATAATAGTAACTTCGTTACATCCTTCCCTTACTTACTAAAAAAAAAAAATAACACCAGGTATTATTATTTTTTTATATATATAATCGTCTAGCAAGTACCCTATGACAAAATTAAATATAATATATGGAGTTTAGTTTAATGCAATTTCATATTATGAAATTGCATTAAACTAAACTCCATTCTGGTTTCCCATCATTTTCCTTCATGTAATCCTGGTGAATCTAGGTGTCTGGCTCGATTGGTCTCCCAATCATTCCGGTGACCGGCGGCGGCGATGTAGATGCGAATGGGGACATCCGCACGTGGGGCATCGGTTGTGAAGTTTGCGTGGCTCGTAACTGCTTCGGGTTTTTCTGTCGGTTTCCTGCTGCTATCTGGTACAAGGATATCTCCTGGACATTAAGCCGACTAGGCCGCAACGGTAGCAAAACATCACCGGTGATCGCGAACACGCCTGTCGTTGGTGCCCGATTCGGCCACATCGCCAGCACAGGTTGGGCGCGATCCTAATATACTGGGCCAAGGTATCTCGATTCTTGGCCTGTCGTTCCTCCCGCTCCCGTTCTTTCGCCAGACGTTTCTCGGCCAGTCGGTTCTCAGCGATTCTCAAATATCTGGCCGCCGGAGTCCAATAATACTTCGTCATTGGGTCCCAGTGTGATGGAACTCCTTCCTCATCTTCCTTGCCGAACGGTAGTGCCTCTATCCCAACAGTCTGTTGGGGCGTGACCAGTGGCTGTCGAGCGGATTGCTCGTCGGTGCTCCCCATTCGGTTGGAAGGGCCAGCGACGGCATTGTCGTCAACCTCCGGCCTTGGAGAGGCGGTTGGCATTTCCCTTATTTTCTCAGTGGCGGCCTCCGTTGCATCGGTGAGGTCAGCGAGAGCTTCCGCCAGTTTCCTTGCTAGGTCTTCCAGCTGTCTTGGAGAGGCGGATATTTCCAAAACTGGACTCTGCATTTTTTGGCAATATTCTGAAAGAAAACCCAACTTTGCAAAACTAGTATTTATTCCAACTAAATAACAAAATGAAACCAAAACAAAATAAACCTGATCAGTCTCCATAATTGCGTGAGATCATAGAAAAGAAAAACAAACAATAATGACAATAATTGTTATGGCTCGTGGGGTAATGTAACCCGGATGCTTCGGCCATCTGGAGCAGCTAGTTTGAGGCGGAGGCGGGTGTTTGCATCTGCTCCAGGACCGCGCAGCGCAAATAGTCGGGCTTTCAGGGCAGGTGGCCACGGTATCCCCCGAGGATGTAATTTGCCTCTTTCGTCTGCCTTCGAGAAGGCCGGTGCGGTTTTCTGCCTTCCTACCACTGTGTCCATGGGGTGTTCAGGAGTTGCTCTTTGCTGAGCTGTCTCGGAGATCGGGTCAATTTGCGGCCTTGCCAAGGTTATCTCGTACTGGGATTTGGGCGGAGGACCAAGCGGTAATGGTATATCTGCCACGGCTACCAGAGGAAATGACGGAACTTCCGAGGTCGTTGTAGCAGATTTCGGCGGAGTCTGTCGCGTCATCGGAGCCGGTCTGCATGGCTGCCGACCGGGTGGAGTGACAACCATAAGTTGGTGAGATCGACGGCGCAGGGTCAAGTCCCGTGCCAACACCTTGATGGCCCTCATCCTCTGTTGAGCCTTGGCGGTCATTTTTGCCGCATCTGCCACATAGAAACGAATGTCCTTCGGGTGAGGATTCGGGACGGTTGCTTTCCTCGGCATTTTCTAGAAGAGATGATACTGCTTCATTGTTTTGATCGATCAGGTTATGAGCAGGCTTCAAATCCTTTATGTGGATATGGTGTAGCTTCTTGCCAGTGTTGCTCTTAAGATCATAGACTACCGGAGATATAACTTTTGAAACGGTATACGGGCCAGAATACTTAGGGGCTAATGATGAAAGATGAAAGATGATGCTCCCTTTTCATCACTCGATCTCCCACATGACATCTCCATTCTCGTCTACGGAGATTGTAGTGATGACTCTGTGTCGTGAAAGCTCGAGAAAGGTTGACTCGAACAAACTCGAAGACTTCCCGGAGTTTGTCTAGTCTTTGGGCTCGGTCTCTTGTATCCTCTGGATTATCATCAACATCGTCGGTCACGAGATCCTCAGGACGGTACACAGCCCCTGGTATTTCCAACTCCCTGCCATAGTTGAGAAATGCCGGAGTATATCCGGTGGAGTCATGGCGGGCTGTGTTGTAAGCGAACACCAGATCAGGTATGTGCTGGTCCCATTTTCGATGGTCCTTGTCGCAGAACTGAGAAATCATATTCTTCATTGTCTTGTTCGTCCTTTCCACAGGATTAGACTGCGGTGTATACGGCGGAGTTAAACGGTGGCCAATCTTCAAACCTTTCAGCAGGTCTCTGAACAGCGAACCGGTGTACTGGGTTCCATTATCGGTGATGACGGTCTTCGGACACCCAAACCGTGTGATGATCTCTTCGTACAGAGCTTGGCTCACTGCTTTTGCTGTTGCCTTCCGTATGGGACGGCACTGGATCCACTTCGTGAATCTGTCTTGAAATACCACTAAGTAGTTATTTCCTTTGCTTGAGCGAGGCAGTGGTCCAACTAAGTCGGAACTGATGGTTTCCCAAGGTTGTCGGTTTACAGACGGTTGCATTCTTCCAGGTGTCTTCTGCTGTGATGTCTTGTACTGTTGGCAAGATTGACAGCTCCGAACGTACTTGGCTATGTCTCTGAACATGCCAGGCCAATAATATCGATTAGCTATTCTGGCTGTGGTCTTGGCTATCCCGAGATGTCCAGCAGTGGGAGCATCGTGGTTTTCCTTCATGACGGTTGAACGAGCTGGTTTCGGTTTGCACAACTTCCAAGGATCGGATAGCTC